CCCGGCCCGTCCCTGCCTGGACCCCAGAGCCCTGTCCACCTCCCTCCCAGACCCCCGGCCCCTCCCTGCCTGGACCCCAGAGCCCTGTCCACCTCCCTCCCAGACCCCCGGCCCACCCCCTGCTTAGGCCCCAGAGCCCTGTCCACCTCCCTCCCAGACCCCAGCCCACTTCCCACCCAGAGCCCTCCCTGTCCACTTCCCTCCCAGACCCTCGGCCCGCTCCCGCCCAGACCCCAGAGTCCTGTCCACCTCCCTCCTGGACTGGGACTACCCACCACCTGGACCTGAGACCCCAGCTCACCTCTAGTCCTGGCCCACCCCCTGCTGGTCCCCAGAGGCTGGCAGGTGTTGGTTGGGTGGGGGGGGGGAACCAGGACCACTGAGGGCCAGGAAGATCACCAGGGGACAGGAGAACCCCCAGGTGGGCCAGAGGCCAGCGTTGCCCTAGGGCCCCAGGTGTCTCTGGGACGCGCATCTCAGCCCTGGGTGTCCAGGGGCCTGGGCAGAGGGAACAAGGCCTGTGGGACCCCAAAGGAGCAGGGAAGGAGCACGTTTCCATGAGTGACTGTGGGATTGCAGGGCGGAGGCGGGGCGGTGGACACTTCCCAAAGTGGATGCAGCGACCCGCAGCTTGTACTGAGCAGTCTACTTGGTAACTGGTTTCCCTCCCTCGGAACAGCTCAGAAGGCTCTCTGAGCCTCATTTTCTTCATCTGTAAAATGGACATAATACTCTACTATGTAACCAGCCTTTGTTAACTGATAATATTTTCAACCAGCACTGAAGGGGCAGAATACATTTAATTGATTAACAGTTTGGAGTCTTAGAAGTGAATGTCTGAAGCTGCAGGGAGCTCGCATCCCATAAAAGGAGCAGCAAACTCTATCTTCTTGTTACCATTTAATCCTCAGTATTCAAATGACAAAAGGGAAGGTTTTGTTTTTTCCCAGTTTTATTGAGATATGAATGCCATTCAACCCTGTACATGTTCCACACATGCAGCCCCGTGGCCTGGCATGCGTGGACGTGCCAAATGAGGCGTAAGTTAGCACCTCATGTGGTTTCCTTGTGATGAGAGCCTGTAGGATTTTCTCTCTTGGCAGCTTTCAGCTCTACCACACGGCGTTGTGAACTGTGGTCACCACCCCGTACACGACTTCCCGGCAGGTACTAATCCTGTAGCTGGAAGATCGCACCTTCTGACCGTCTGCCTCCAGTCCCGGTAACCACCTCCCCATCTCATAACCACCAGCGTGTTCTCTGTACCTATGAGTCCGGGGTTTTTCAGAAGCCACATGTAAGTGAGATCATGTGGTATGTGTCTTTGTTTGACTTATTTCATTTAGGTCAAGGCCCTCAAGGTCAACCTATGTGGTTGCAAACGACAAGATTTCCTTCTTTCTTAACGGCTGAATACACCCTTGTGTATATTCGCTACATCCTCTTTATTCTTCCATCCTGGATGGACTCTCAGGCTGTTCCATGTCTTGGCTGTTGTGAACACCACTGCGGTGAACACGGCGTGCAGATATCTCTTGGAGCTCCAGATGTCATTTCCTCTGAATAAATATTCGGAAGTGGAATTGCTGGATCCTAGGGTAGTTCTAGTTTTAATATTTTGGGGAATCCATCTTCTGTAGTGGATGCACCAATTTACATTCCCACCAACAGTGCACAGCGTTCCCTGCCCTCCACATCCTAACATTTGTTATTTTTTGCCTTTTTGATTCCTGCCATTCTAACAGGTGTGAGGTGATCTCTCACTGTGGTTTGGATTTGCATTTCTCCGGTGATCAGTGGTGTTGAATGCCTTTTCATGTGTCCTTTGACCATCTTTATGTTTCTATAGAAAAATTTCTATTCGGATCCTCTGCCAACTTTTTAATTAGTGGGTTTGATATTTTGATGTCGAGTTGTGTGTGTTCTTTATATATTCGGGGCGTTAACCCATTTCAGACGTATGACTTGCAATATCTTCTCCCATTCCGTAGGCTGCCTCGTCATGCGGGTGGTTTCTCCTACTGTGTGGAAGCTTTTCAGTTCGGTGCGTCCCACTTTTTGTTTTTGGCTTTTATCATGTGTGCGTTAGGTGTCATTTCGAAAAATCACCAAGACCGATATCGGGAAGCTCTTTCCCTGGGTTTTCCTCTAGGAGTTTTATGGTTTCGGGTAAAAGTGAAGGTTTTTGATACATTTCTTATGTTGCTTGGATTGGTTCAGGCTGTGATTTTTTTTTTCCTTCCTAAATTTAGAATGAATGATTGCAGTTTTGCCCTTTGAAATGAAAAGTCAAGTGTCCATTATAGTTAATAAGTATTTGCTTAAAGTAAGAAAAAGAAACTAGTTTCTCAATAAGCAGAATATGGAGAGTAATAGATTCCCTTCTCTGTGGCCTCCTTCATAGGAAAACACCATGCTGGCGCCTCCCTACCGCACTGCATCCGCTGAGTTTTGACTTCCCCCTAGCGAGCTTTAAAAACAGATTGTCATAGGTTAAGATGACTTAATTTCTAACCAGTCAGATGTTAGGCTCCAAAATGGACATTAAAACTTAAGGAGCACTCAAAGCACTGTTTTGACACACAGACACACACACACACTGTAAGTAGGACTAGAAAATCTGCAGGTTAAACTGAGGTTCTCAGGAGCAGTCCTAACCCAGGTGGCCACCGTGGTTCGTCGTGGTTGGCCAATAAGCCCTGAGGGCTTCTTCTGCTTCACACGGGGTCCTTCCTCTTCTAGTGCATGTCCACCCCTTCTCTTCATACCTTCTCGCATCCCGCATGTGTTTGTGACCCTTTGAAGCCTGACACTGAGTGCTCTTCCCTCTGCAAGAAATCACAGTCCTCTCCTGGGTCTGGTCAATTGTAAAGACCTTTCTGAGCTCACTGAATGAAGATGAATGAAACCTTTCATTGTTTTCTGCAGTCAGGAGGCATCTTCTCTGAAAAAGACCTCCTTTTCCCATTGGGTAGGTGATAAAATTGTCAAATAAAGGTAGGTTTTTTAAGACATTGTGGTTGGAAGCCTGGATTAGTAAGTATAAAATGTAAGTCGGAAACAAAATATTAGCTTTCTGAGTCTTTTTACAAGATCACTGAAGAGCATGTTTCTGGGATAACACTCACTCTTCCAGAAACACTTATGGGAGATTATAGCAGGAAAAGTGTCTGAGCGCCTGTAATCCGTGCACGTGTACCATTTGGGAAATGCGTGGTGGGTGGAGAAGACGGGCCCGGTGCAGACTTGCACTGATGTCCCTGCTCTCGCGCCCAGCAGCTGCCCTTCCGAGACACTGCTCCCCACGGTGGTGGTTGGCCGTGCAGTGTCTCGTCAGGTCACCCTCATGCAGAACTCTTAATGCTTGCTCGCACGGCAAGTGCGTATTGAGTCTGCTGAGTGTGTGTGACATCGCGTTCGGGCACTGGGGATGCACCAGGGAATCAAGTGCTTTCCTCTAGGGAGGTCCCAAGCTGTTCCCTGGGCTCGGGTCATCGTTGCTGATGAGGACACGTCCCACGGAAAGGGTGCGCAGCTCTGGCACGTGACACAGGCAGGCTGGCAGTCCGTGTGAAGCAGTGGCCCTGGGTTTTTCCTTGAAAGATGGCTCCCACCTGGCTACGTACCCTCTGACGCCCTAGTTTCCCCTGGGACACACAGAGTAGAACTCTGCGGGACTCATGGGGACTGTGCTTTGTCTTTGCAACAATGCTATTTGAGTGAGGAGTAATCATACTATTATTATTGTTGTATTGTAGTACATTATTATAGTATACAAATACTATTTGAGTAAGCTCGTGCTGTGTGAGGCTATGCAGGCTTCGGACCACAGCTTACAGGAGGGGAGGTGCCCTGGCCCCCAGGCCACGGGTGCTTACATGCTGGGGGAGGGCAGCCTGGTGAGAGGGCCATCCTGGACCAGGAGGAACACACTTGGCTCCTGTCCCGCTCCCCGCCACTCACGACTGCGGCGTGGACGCCCCGTCCCTCGCTCCCCGCCACTCACGGCCGCGGCGTGGACGCCCCCGCCCCTCACTCCCCGCCACTCACGGCTGCGGCGTGGATGCCCCGTCCCTCACTCCCCGCCAGTCACATGTGTGCACGTGTGTGTCTGTGTGTCTCTACATGTGTGTGCACATGTGTGGTTGTGCATGTATATGTCTCCACATACATGTGCGTCTTTCTGTGTGCATGTGTGTATCTCTGCGTGTGTGCGCGTGTCTCCCCAGTCATACCCTCAGAGTTCTGCTCAGTACCGACTCTGCCATCTGGGATCTCAGAACCTCAGGCCCTGCTTGGGGTGCATCTTGGCTGGAAAGAGCCCCCTGTTCCTTTGCGGAGCTGCCCGTGCCTGGTGCCAGCTGGCACAGGGTGACTTCTGGGGCACTGCTCCAATCCTTGTGCGTGTGATGCTTCTACAGTAGACGTGGCCTGGCTTTATTGATCACAAAAGTGGCCCAGGGCGGAGCCAGCAAGGCTGGATTGGCACCTCCTTCACCCCATGGTGCCAGCTC